TACCAATTCTCTTGAACGTGATCCGGGATTACGTCGTCAAATATGCACATATTCAATTAATGAACGTGATAACATTCGAAGAGCATATATTTTCTTAGGACCATGTCAACCCACATTAGGGGAATATCCATGCCACTTAGATGGGAATCAAAATTGTTGATTTCAACAATGTTGGTTCAAACAATTCCCTTGGCTTGAGTATTTTGTCCATGAAACTGATCATTCACACAAGGCATTCACTATAGATGGGTTTAAAAATTGAAAGAGAGTTGGGGAGGAAAAATGTGCTTTCCTTGGTCATGTAGGCAATATAAATTCTCCACATCATCTTGCTATGCAAAAGTGGATGAATTTAAGCAACCCTTCTCAACATATTGACAAAGTGGTGCAATCACCACAAGATGTTCCAAAAAATCGGTTCAGACTTACAAGCACAATTGAGTCCATTAGGTATCTAGCAAATCAAGGATTGGCTTTCAGAGGTAATGACGAATCTTGTAAGTCATCAAATAGGGGAAATTTCATTGAATTGATAAAAGCCTTTTCAAGAATGAATGTAGAAGTTGAAAAAGTCATCTTAGAGAATGCTCCTGGAAATGCGAAATATATTGCATCAACAATACAAAAGGAGATCCTAAATATTTTTGCTAACAAAGTAAGGAAGAAGATTCGTGAGGAAGTTGGAGAGGATGGAAAATTTTGTATTCTTGTTGATGAAGCACTTGATGAATCTAAAAAGGAACAAATGGCTATTATCCTAAGATTTGTTGGTCGTGATGGGTTTATTCAAGAACGGTTTTTTGAGATTATAAGTGTTCATGATACTAATTCCTCAACTCTTAAAACTAAGATTTGTAAAGTGCTTGGTAAACACACTCTTTTAGTGAAGAATATGCATGACCAAAGATATGATGGTGCTAGCAATATGCGTGGTCAATGGAATGGCTTACAAGCATTGTTTCTCAATGATTGTCCATATGCATATTATATACATTGCTTCGCTCATCGCCTCCAACTAGCATTAAATGCTGTAGCCAAAGAGGTAGGAGTTATTTGGAGATTTTTTTCAATGTTGAATAATATTGTGAATTTTGTTGGTGCTTTTGCTAAATGTCATTTTGAGTTGAAATTATCTTGAAAAGCTGAAATTCAAGGGTTGTTAGAGGCTGGAAAACTTGAAATGGGTACAGGGGCTAATCAAATTCATCGTTTGCAACGACCTGGAACTACTCGTTGGGGGTCTCATTTTAGTTCTATCAGAAGTTTGATTGATTTATTTGGTGCAACCAAGACACTTCTTGATGAAATAGGTCGTAATGGACCTACATCACAATGTCGTTTGAATTTGTTTTTTCCTTACTTTTGTTGGAAAAAACTATGGGATTCACAGATTTTCTTTGTCAATCACTTCAAAGCAAATCTCAGCACATTGTAAATGCTTTGAATCTTGTTTCAAGTACAAAAATGAAGCTTGATGAGTTGAGAAATAATGGTTGGGATGATTTTATCAAAAGTGTGCTATCATTTTGTGAATGACATGACATTAGTGTACCTGATATGAGTGCTCGTCATAAAATGGGTATATGTCGTTCTTGTCAACAACAGGATTCTATTACAGTTGAGCATTATTTCTGTTTTGATGTATTTAATGATGTAATAGATTTTCAGTTGGTAGAGTTAAATACTAGATTTCCGGAGCAAACTGTGGAACTTCTTTATCTTACCTCAACATTGGATCCCCATGATTCATTTAAGCGATTTAACATTGGTGATATATGCAATTTTGCTGGGAAGTTTTATCCTTAAGATTTTACTACCACTGAGTTGCAAGCTTTACATCAACAGTTGGGATTTTATAAGACTGATATGGATCGTCTTCTAGCCTTCAAGAATCTTGATTCTATTCCTGAATTACTTAGGTGCTTACTTGAAACAAGGTTAACACACACCTACCACTTGATTGATAGATTGATTCGTTTAGTGTTAACGCTTCCGGTTTCTACAGCAACAATAGAACGTGCATTTTCTTCTATGAGACTTATCAAAAATCGATTTCGGAACAAGATAGAGGATGAGTTTCTTGCTGATTGTATGATACTTCACATTGAAAAAGAATTTGCTGATAGTATCTGTGGTAACCAAATTAAATCAAAACCCTAGGTCAAATAATTCATTCCATTTGGGGATTATTTGACCTAATTGGGAATTAATCAACTTGATTGGGAGTTACTCAATTTAATTGGGGATTACCCAATTAAATTGAACGTTACCTAATTGGGTTGAGAATTGATTTGATTCCTACCAACCCTTCCTAATTAAATGAGGAGTTACCTAATTAAAATGGGATTTGATTTGATACCTACCACCATTAGGGATTTGATTTATCCTAATAAATCAAATCCCTAATTAATCAAATCAATTCCAAATAGGGGATGAATAATTCCCTTCCATCTACGGAATTATTCCTTTGAAACCCTAGCCTCCGAGACCACTATAAAAAGATAGCCACACACAAGGGTTGAGGTACGTCTGAAATCCCTACTGAAACTCTGCAGAAAATTCCTCTCAAACCCTAGCCACCTCCTTTCTCTCCCTCTTTTACATAAGGCTCCAGCCGCCCGGTTTACACCATAAACACATCTCCGTACGATATTAGCTATTGTTTTCTATACGATTCAATTGAACTAATTTAAGCATCGGAGGGCCTTTGGCCAACACCCCCCGGGTGTGGTCCTCTTATTGGTTCTATTTTGCAGGGAGGAGGCGGCGAAGAAGAAAGGAGAATATTTCCAATCGAATATTCTCGTGGGGAAATTTGTACACTCAAATTGGTGCTTTCATTGAGAGTACGAGTTATACTCAACGCGTGCTCAAGCCTTCCAAACAACCACAGTTGGAATCATGAAGATGAGAGGCAAAACCGCTGTGATGGCTAAATCGGCGATGGCTGAAAGCCACTCCACCCACGGTCCCGCGATTGACATGGTAGCACCACCACCTCTCACCACCGCACCGGCCGCCGCCGCCGAACATGGTGGAACCTCCCATCAAGGTGGGCTTGTTACTACCACCGACTTAGGCTCGGTCTTGGAGCAACTTCAAGCGTTCCCTCCATTGCCTCCACGCTCGACACACGCTTCCGCGCACACCTCCAATGAAACCATAGCCCGTGTGCAATTGGGCTTCACACACTTCTCTCCTTCCGATCCACGAAGTCAAGCAGACCTTAGTCTGAGAGTTGACCAGCTAGCTCAGAGAATGTACGACTAAACCAATCTGATGAGGCAGCTCCTCAACCAAATAAACTTGGTTCAAAACCTTGGCCTTGGACAACCGGGCGAAGAGAGAAGGATGGATGAACGCGCTGATCGGCAGCTTGTTGGGTACCAAGCAGGTCGAGCAGGAACGGGTAGACAAGGAGAGGGACAACAACGTGATCAGCTGGCCAACATGTCACAAGCATCCACAGGCTACACTCAAAGCAACGTACGCGAAAGGTTGGGCCCATGGCTTGACATCCACGATTGCTTGGGTCTGCAGGGAAATGTACTTCAAAGGCTAGGCCCCCAGGGAGGTCAGCCAGACGACTATCGCGGCAAGGATCGTGAAGAAAGACGCTCAGCTGTCCACTCGCAGAGGAGCATTCACGAAAGGCTAGGCCCCCAAGGTGGCCAGCTGGATAACCCTCACAATGAGGACTATGAGGAAAGGCGCTCTGCTACTCACTCTCGAAGAGTTGATTCTCGTCGGCAAGCTACATAAAATCCTTTGCAAGCGCAGTCCACCACCACGCCGCCTAGGCAGCGCAGGCGAGAAGGTCGACCCTCGTAGACCAATGAGGAGGTCAATCAGCATCGCCAACGAGACCAACCAGCGATGTGTGCAGAAGACATTAAGAAGCTTGTGAACGACCGACTTCGAGACTTGAAGACTGGCGGGAACTTTGAAGACGCACTACGTAAGGAGATGGACCACGCGAACTCTACTCCTTTCACTGCCGAAATTGAGCAAGCTGCTCCTCCGAAGAGATTCTCAACACCCTCGTTCACATATTTCAAAGGGGATTCTGATCCCGAGAGCCACCCATGATCCTCCACAAGGCTGACAACGCGCTAATGTGCAAGGTGTTGGTAATGACCTTGTGGGGAGCAGCCCAAGACTGGTTCCACACCCTACCATCCGGGTCGATTAACAGCTTCAAGGAGCTGGCTTACGTCTTCACTAAAGAATACACCTCTTACCGGACGATCAAGAAGAACCCTGACCACTTTTACAACCTGCGCAAAAAGTTCGACGAATCCCTTCGAGATTACATAAAGAGATTCAAAGCAGAAAAGGCCAACATTGTAGAATGTGATGACCATATCGCGTCATCTGCCTTCAAGAAAGGTCTTCCAGCTGAACACGACTTGTACCGCGAGCTGACTATCACTCCCAGCCAAACTCTGGCAGGGATCTATGAGACCGCGGAACGCTACGCGCTCTGGGATGACGATCGAATCGCTGCAAAAAAGTCTACTAAGCAGGGAGATCAGCTGATTAAGCGGGTAGGCCAAAGAAGCGATGGATTTAGCAACAAGAACAATGACAAGTGCATGTTACACCCACAAGGGGACGCTAAAGCAGGAGAGGACTACACCAAGTTCACCATCCCCATACATCAAATCTTAGCCCAAGTGAAAGACAAACCTTGGGTAAAAAGACTACCACAATTGAAATGAGATCCGGACAAGAGGGATACTAGCAAATACTGTGCCTTCTACGGGACGTACGGACACACTACAAACAACTGCTTCGCTTGGAAAGCACACCTTGAAGAACTCGTGAGAGAATGTCACTGCATGGAATTCATCGCGAAGCAGGCCATCCAGCGGACTGAAGATCGAGACACCGCCAAGGAGCCGCCCTAGAAGGTCATAAGAATTAACACAATCCTAGCCGACACCAAGGAGTCAGGGCTGACCAGCAAGGAAAAGAAGAGGAAGATCAAACAGGCCACTATGATCTTCCAAGTCTCGACTGACCTTCCACCAGCAGAAGACGATCCTGTAATTGGCTTCCAAAAGAAGGATCTGATCGGCCTCGACATGCCACATAATGATGCCCCTGTCATCAGTATTCAAATCGCCCAGGCCATGGTCGACCGAATCCATGCAGACGAGGGCAGCGCAACCAATATCCTGCAGCTGGCTGTCATCCAGCAGATGGGCTTGAAGGCAAAAATCAACAAATCAGCCAGATCGCTGACCGGCTTTAATGGTGCAACAACGGTTACTGTGGGCACGATAGACCTCGGCGTCTACTCCTCGCCTGTAGTCTGCTTGCAAACATTCATGGTCATTAATGAGGTCTCACCTTACAACGGCATTCTGGGTAGACCATGGATTGGCAAGATCAATACCATCACCTCTGCATAGGAAAATCCAGTACCCAATCCCTGGGGGCGGTGTTGGCCAAATCAATAGCGATTAGGCAATGGCGAGGAAGTGCTCCGCCCAAGGGTTGAAGAAAAGCAAACAAGCGCAGTTCCTCCCTGTGAGCCAGGCAGGACCAAACCGAATCTTGCTCTCTTATAGCAATCAAAGCGTCAGGACCAAGCAGAGGAAATCTGTCCAGAGGTCTTTCCTAAAGAAGGATGGAAGCCCAATGAAGACGTCAAGTTAATACCCTTGGATCCAGAACAGCCAGACAGGAAAGCGCGGATCGGCTAACGCTTAAGCCCAACGCGGATCGGCTCGCGCTTAAGCCCAGAAAAGAAGGAGGAGCTGACCACCTTCCTCCAAAACAACAAAGACATGTTCGCATGGTCACCGTCAAACATGCCTGTCGTCAACCCGAAACATCATCTGTCATCGACTCCACGTCAACCCTGCCTATAAGCCAGTGGCGTAGAAGAGACGCAACTTCGTACCCGAGCAAGTCGCTATCATCGAAGCTGAGATTGATAAACTCCTAGCTGCCGGCTTCATCGAAAAGGTCTCCTACTCAAAGTGGCTTGCAACATTATTCTGGTGGCAAAACAAGAGAAGGGCAAGTGGAGAGTCTGCGTCGATTGCACAGACCTCAACAAAGCATGCCCAAAGGACAACTTCCCATTGCCGAGAATTGACCAACTCGTGGATTCCACTTCTGGCAATCAGCTACTCAGCTTCATGGACGCCTACTCCAGCTACAATCAAATTCGGATGCACGAGGATGATAAGGCAAACACTTCTTTCATCATCGAGAGAGGGACCTACTGCTACAATGCCCTTTGGGTTGAAGAACGCCGGAGTAACCTATCAAAGGCTCGTGAATAAAATCTTCAAGGAGCAAATCAGCAAAACTATGAAAGTCTACATGGACGACATGCTGGTCAAGGCCTCAAAGCGTGCAGATCACATCAAAAACCTCGCCGAGGCATTCAGCCTGCTCCACCGGCATCGCAAGAAATTGAATCCAAGTAAATGCACGTTTGGTGTATCCTCTGGCCGATTCCTGGGATACCTAGTCAAGCAACGAGGTATCGAGGCACACCTACGTCAAATCAAAGCCATTCTCGAGATGAATTCGCCCTCTACGGTGAATGAGATACAAAGTCTGACGGGCAGAGCAGCGACCCTCAACTGATTCCTCTCGAGATCAACTAGCAAGTGCAGACCATTCTTCAAAGCTTTGAAGAAAGGACAAAAAGACAAATGGCATGAGGATTGCGAAGTAGGTTTCTAGAATCTGAAGACTTATCTCACTTCACCTCCCCTGCTCTCAAAGCTAGTCCCTGGTGAGGACTTGTTCGTGTACCTGGCAGTGTCCAACTCAGCTGTCAGCTCAGCTCTCATTCAAAAAGAACTAGGGGCCATACATCCGGTATTCTACACTTCAAAAGCTCTCCTCAATGCAGAGACTCGCTACCCGAAATTGGAGAAGCTCATTTTGGCTATTTTAGTTTCTACGAGAAAGCTGCGACCTTACTACCAAGCTCATCGAGTCATCGCCATGACCGACTTTCCTTCGAGATCAATCCTCCACAGCCCTGATGCTTTTCAGCGACTCATGAAGTGGGCTATAGAGCTAAGCCAATATGACCTTTTCTACAGGCCAAAAGCTGCAATAAAAGCCTAGACTTTAGCAGACTTCGTAGCAGAATTCACCCCATTGGCTAAAGAAGAGAAATTGGTCAACAAAAAGAAGGAAAGTTCAAAAGCAAACGGGACCTCCGCTGAGCAGGTTTCGTCATCATCACCCCGGATGGAACCTTGTTGGAGTAAGCTATCACGCTTGGCTTCCCGGCCTCGAACAACGAGGCAGAATGCGAGGCATTGTTCACCGGCCTGCACTTGGCAAAAGAACTCGCAATCAAAAAGCTAGTCATCTACTCAGATTCCCAGCTGATCACGAATCAAGCGTCAGGAGAATACATGGCAAAGCATCCAAGGATGATCTTGTACCTTGACAAAGTCTAGGAGTTGTTAAAGGCGTTTCCTACCTTCAGCATCCAACAAATGCCCCTGGCAGAGAACACACATGCAGATGCTCCATCCCAGTTGAACACCTTGACCGACCAAGCATTGAGGAAATAGAGCCAATTGACATAATGCAAATTGACGAGGACCCCAGCTAGCAAGACCCTATCATCGACTACTTAGTGAATGGGAACCTACCAACGGACAAGTCCGAAGCTAGGAAGGCCAGCAGAAGGCCGCGAGATACTATATGCACGGCAGCAAGCTCATCCGCATATCATACTTCGGCTCTCATCTCACCTGCATAAATTACCCTCAAACACTTGAGGTCCTCTGCAAAATTCACGGCGTCAAGTGTGGCAACCACTATGGGGGCAGATTACTCTCCTAGAAGACTCTAAACATAGGCTACTTCTAGCCTACCATGCGCCACCACTCCACTGAATATGTCAAGAAATGTGATCGCTGCCAGCGATACAAGCCGATCCCTAACCTGCCTGCCGAAGTCTACCATCCATGCAATAGGTCATTGACTTAGTGAGACTCTTGCCACTTGTGCCCGCCAAGAAGGACATGATGATCGTCGCAACCGACTACTTTACTAAATAGATCGAGGCCGAAGCTCTATCCTCTATTAAAGAAGCCGATGTGGAGCGATTCATTTGGAGAAACATCATCTTCCGATTTTGCTACCCACAATCGCTGGTTACAGACAACGGCTCACAGTTCAATGGCAGGCAGATCACAGCAAAACAGTCGCCTATAAGCAGCTTCCTAAGGGAGACGTAGGGTGGCGACCAGAAGTGTCCTTCGGGAGACGCAGCCCATAAAAAGCGTCTTAAGGGAGACGCAGGGTGCGCTAGGAATTTCCTAAGAGAAGTATACCGGTTCCTATCCATTCACTAAGGGGGGCAGGTAGTTCTACAGTTGCCCATAAGCAGCTTCCTTCGGGAGACGCAGGGTGACGATCAGAGCGTCCTTCGAGAGACGCAGCTCGTAAAAAGCGTCCTAAGGGAGACGCAGAGTGCGCTAAGAATTTCTTAAAAAGAGGTCTCTATGCCTCATGCGGGAAGTATCCAGGTTCCTATTCGTTTCCTAAGGGAGGCAGGATAGACACGCAATTGCCCATAAGCAGCGTCCTAAGAGAGACGCAGAGCGACGACCAAAGCGTCCTTCAGGAGACGTGGCCGTAAAAAGCGTCCTAAGGGAGACGCAGGGTACGCCAGGAATTTCTTAAAAGGAGGTCTCCATGCCTTCTGCAGAAAGTATCTAGATTCCTATCTGTTTCCTAAGAGAGTCAGGATAGACACGCAGTTGCCCATAAGCAGCGTCCTACGGGAGACGCAGGGCGACGACCAAAGCGTCCTTTGGGAGACGCATCCCTTAAAAAGCGTCCTAAGAGAGACGTATGATGCCCCAGGAATTTCTTAAAATGAGGTCTCCATGCCTTCTGCGGGAAGTATCTAGATTCCTATCTGTTTCCTAAGGGAGGCAGGATAGTCACGCAGTTGCCCATAAACAGTGTCCTTCGGGAGACACAGGGCGACAACCAAGGCATCCTAAAGGATGTGCAGAACACGCCCGGAGCTCCTTAAGGGGGCCCTTGGCACTCGCCAACTTCCTAAGGGAAACCATCCTAAGGGATGTGCAGGACACGCCCGGAGCCTCTTAAAGGGGGCCCAGACACTCGCCAACTTCTTAAGAGAAACCATCCTAAGAGATGTGCAGAACACGCCCGGAGCCCCTCAAGGGGGACCCTGGCACTCGCCAACTTCCTAAGGGAAAAACATCCTACGGGATATGCAGAATACGCTCGGAATCCCTCAAGAGGGACCTTATCACTCATAAATCTCCGAAGAATATGTGCAATCAAGACAGAGGCTAGTTACTTAACAGTTCACAAGTCAATATGCAAATTGAAAGTGACAACTGAAATTTCCACAACAAGATGACAAACCCGCCAAGTTCAATAAAAAGAAGATGGTCAAAAAAGACCAATTATTCTAAACAAGAAAGCAAAATCTGAAAAGAAACGAAGAAGTCTTCATCTACTCTGGGACGCCAGCAGGAGACATTTGAGCTGCAGCCTCTTCGGCCTCCGCCTAATCATCCACGCCATCAGCGGCTCCATCTGCCTGCTCCGCGACATCTACCATCATCTCATCTACTGCGTCCTCTCCGGCTGCCTGCTCTTCAGTTCCTCCTTCCACAGGGGGTGAGTCGGGGCAGAGCGTCTCGATGTCTACGTCGTCAATTGCATACAAGGGAGTAGTCCCATCTGCGCAGTGCAGGTAGCCCAACTTGTACGCATCTATGATGGCTTCAGACTTGGATTTTTCTGCGGACTTGTGGTATGCATGAAATATAACCAGGAGCTTGTCATAGCTAAGGGAGATGTCAGCATTCTTAAGCTCAAGACAAAAGAAGGCATCTTTTCAATTAACCAAATCAGCGTCAAGAGAGTTGAGCTTGGAATCCTTCTCGGTAAAGGAGCTTTTCAGCTCAGATATCATCGCCCTCAAATCAGACGTCTTTTTCTCATAACCGACCTGCTCAGCAAAAAGCTGGCTGGCCAATTCAGAGTTCTTCTTCTCCAACTCGCTGAGCTGGGCAGAAGATAGAACAACAACAGATGAGTTTCGAATAGTCTCCGCAGCAAAAACCAATCCTTTTTGAATTAGATGAAATGTTGCTTCCCTTTGTTTTTCCAAGGAAAGGCTCGAGAAAGTGCCAAGATTGCCGGCCTGACGGATGTGATCAACCAACTCAGCACAGGAAGACGGGTTTCATAGGAAGTTTGTCTTGAGCAGATCAGACACGCATGCATCCCCTACAAGGCTAGACTTATTCGCCTTGGGATCAACCGCCGACGCTGGAGAAGAACCCTTAGCCCGGGCAGATGACTTTCTCATCCTTTTAGCCTCCGCCAACCTCATCTCCAAAGGAGTCAATGATACTGAATCAACTCCACGCTT